CTATTCCAATTGGCCTACCTATCCTCAGCTCTATGTTTCTGGAGAGCTCATAGGAGGACTTGATATTATTAAGGTTAGAATGGAGAAGTCAGTCTGTGCCTTGTAATGAAATTTCAGTTACAACATACTTTTATTGTGTGTCGTATACATCTAAAAAACTAATTTCTTAGGAATCGCTGTATTTATTAATATGAATCTGGATTAAATACGTGGTATTTCAGATAGGTGATTGATCAGTTTTCTGTATTATGATCTGATTAATGGGATTTATGTTGTAATAAGTCTTTTCTAAAATTGACATATGTGCCTATTTCAGGAGCTAGAAGCATCTGAAGAACTAGATACAATTTGCCCCAAAGCTCCCAAGTTAGAGGAAAGGTAAGTGTTTTAAAAGTCTCAGATAGTCTGCTATTTATTATTAAATGAAAAATGTTTTTAATTACCAGAGAATGCGTTAAGGTCACCAGAGAAAGAAAGAGAGAGAAAGAAAGAGAGAAAGGGAGAAAGCATCCTTCCAGGTGGGGTGTAGTCATACAATAATCCCTTCTCCATTTCTCCATCCTGTCAGGACTTGGGGCATGTATACACATGGGCCCAGTGTGTTCTTCGAACCACAGGGGCTGTAATTTGACCCATGGACAACTCTGAGAGATCTTGCTCCCTTAACCATTAGACTGTGGGGTCAGTACCTTCAAAGTATTTTCTGATTCTCCATTTTTACATTGTTTTTTCTATACATAATAGAAATAAAAGATTTGGCGTTTGTATGCTGAGAGTCGTTATTATTACTTGTAATCAAATTTCTCTTACAAATTAAGGAAGATCTAATTTGGACTGTAGACATCTTAGCACCAGTTTAGTGATGATGTAGAGGATTTTCTTTGCTTTGATAGAAATGTCATTGTTGCAGTAGAATGACCAAGTTTTGTTTCTCTTTCTGCATTTGAGAGCCAGGATTCGATTGTCTTGGTTACTACTCATGTCATTAACTGGGCACATACTTTTATATATTTATTATTTTGAGAGATTTTTGCTGTAGGGTCCATGTGCTTGCCAGAGAAACAGACAAAGTGAGAAATCATCCCCTTGGGGGGAAGGTTACGTGCCCATACTGAATTTCAAGCCACCAGGTCTGGTACTTGAATGTGGTTTACTATGTGAGAGTCCAGCCCCTTAACTGCTGGTCCACCTGCTGGCTCTGTGTTTTTGTTTTCTTGTACACAGTTTCTATGACTCTTGTGGTTACTGTCCCATATTAGGAGGTGGAATGTAAGTGTCTAGTGTGAAAAGCCAATGCCACACACAGAGTGCACTTTTAAATAGGCTCTGGGTATTTCTCAGTGCCTTTTTAAACCATGGTAACTGAAAATTCAAGATGATTTTGGAGCTGTAAAAATCTATGTATGTTTTATGAAGAGTTTCAGTCAACATTTAGAGAAGTTATCTTGTAGAAATTGTGAACTTTAACATATAGGGAGACTTAAGGGGATTTTTTTTTTTGGAGAGGTTTTTTTTTGCTATAGGACACTTGCGCTCACCAGAAAGACAGACAGAGAGAAAGCAAGAAGTCACCTCCAGGGGGGATGGCCACACCACACAGTCTCTTCTCCATTCTCTTGGGTTTGGGCACACATGCACATGTGCCTGGCCTGAGTTTAAGCCACCAGGTCCAGGACTCAAACCACGGTAACTACATGGGAGTCCAGTGACATAGCTATTATGCCAACTGCTGGTTCCTTTTTAATAATTCTTTTTTTTTTTTTAAGGGACTTTTATTTTAACAATTAGGTGGTAATATAGAGGCTTAAAAATGAATATATTTTGAAATACCTGAGCATATCAGCCATTTGTAGTCAGGATTTGAGTTTCTAAGATAAACTTTCCTCTTAGAAATTTCTTGCTATTTAATTAAAAATTTTTTTCCAATGCATTTATTTTAAGGTTTTTGCCACAGGGTGCATTGTCCTCCCCAGAGAAGACAGAGACAGTGAGAGGGAAAACGAGAAATCCCTCTCCATCACCTTGGTTGGTCATGTGGGAGTTCAGCACCATAACCACTATGCCACCTGCTGGTCCCAACCATTCTAACATTAAAAAAATCCTAGAATTTTTATTATTTAAAGTGACTAGTAATAAACTAGTATTATTCATCCTTAATAAAGTAACCCTTGTAAATAGTATTCTATATATTATGTCAAGATGACCTTAGCACATTTCTTCACATAGTTTGTTCCTTTTCCTGCCTTCTAAAAAAGTTCATTTTGGGACCAGCACGTGGTGTGGTGGTTGAAGCGCTGGACTCTCACATGGCTGACCATGGTTTGGATCCTGGACCTGATAGCTTGAAAACCATGCCAAGTGGGTCCAGCAGATGGCATAATGGTTGCGTCTCTGGACGCCTATATAGTTGACTGTGGTTTGAGTGTTGGACCCAGCAGCTTAAAACTCATGCTGGGTGCGTGTGTGTGTGCGTGTGTGCCCCAAAATCCCGAGAGGAGAATGGAGGAGAAGGAATTGTGGTGTGGCCATCGCCCTGGGAAGTGATTTCTTGCTTTCTGTCTCTCTGTGTGTCTCCAGTGAGTGTATCCGCCCTATAGCAAAAATCTCTCCAGGAATAAAAAAAGAAAACCATGCCAAGTGCATGTACAGTGTGCCCAGAATCCTGGGAGGATAATGGAGGAGGAGGGATTTCAGGGTGGCCATCCCCTCTGTGGGGTGATTTCTCACTTTTCCTCTCATTGTCTCTTATTTCTCTCCAGCAAGCACACGTGCCCTTTAGCAAAAATCTGAGAAAAAAAAAAAAAAGGTAGTTTTTTTTTTCCATAAGTGAGAGACAGAAAAAGACAGAGAAAAACACAGTCTGGTTGTAATATTGTGATCTGCCCCCAGCCTGTCCCACATCATGGTTTTGCATGTGTCTTGTGCACTCAGGGAGGTCTCTGGACCTGAACTGGGGACTGCATTACAGAATATCCTATCTTCTATGTGGGACTGCCTTACAGAGTATCGCTGTCACCCATTTCCTGCCTTTTTAATTTGAAAGCGATGCTTAGTCCTTTTGTTGACTCCTGGTGTCCTCACTTCTGGTTCTGTGCTGCAGTTTGGTGATTCCCTTGGCTCACAGAGCCTGTGTGCCCTCCAGAGAGCTGTGCTTTTTAGTGTTTTATTTGTGGTTCCTTCTTTTTTGTTGAATATACTCTGGGTGTTGTTTATGGCCTTTTCTCCCATCAGACCTTCTCAATTTTCCTAATGTGCTACTTCTGATTCTCTTATGCTTTCAGATACTAAAAGATAACTGGCTAGAATTATATAAAGTAAAATTCAGTATATTCTGAATGAAAAGGCTCCCAGGGTGAACAAAGAGCAGGAGTTGGAGTTCATGAATTGTGACATTTATTTTGGCAGGACAGAGGGTCTGTGGCTCCCTGGGTTTAGGTAGCTAGATCACTAGGTGAGTGATGTAGGTAGCATTATGTTATTGTATCTGTCACCTGAGAATGAGTAAATCATACTGTATTAGATGTGTAAGTGACATAGTTTTTGTGCATTTTATTTGTGACAACTTTTTTCTATTAAGAGATTTTGAGCCATGAATCCTCCATAGCACCAGTGGAGAAAGGAGAATGTGGTAGACTTAGGTTCTCAATGACCCGTTGGCTTAACATTGACTTTTCCTGAGATTTGTAACAGATAATTAAAGCTTCTGAAAGCAAGTTAGATTATGATATTTGAAAGATTGTAGGAAATACTAAATGTGAAGTTGAGATGAGAGTATTTGGTGTTAGCAGCTGGCATCAGTTGCTGCTCTCCTATTGAGTCCTTCACCTTCCAGGTCTGACCTTGTGAATGCTCACAAGGAGCACGGCGTGGTGTATGGCATCGTGCTGGAAGATGGGGCACAACATCTCATTCTGAAGCTCTTGGTGGGCTAAATCAGGAGGCCCTTATTGAACAATTCCTTATGGAATTGGTTGTTATTTTTTTTTACTACTGTGAGTTGATGGGCTTAAATTGCAACTTGAAGGAACATTCGTTGCCTTAAAAGCCATATTGTATTTTACAGTGGCTTAGGGAGAGAATGAAATAAAGGAAAATGTCAATGTATTTGCTTGTTTAATACCACTCAAAGCTGCGAACTAACATCCTGCTATCCCTTCAATATGCACGTTACTCACGAAGCGGAGCAAAAGTGGTGTTTAATAATTGAGCTGAGCCATTTTATATCAATTTTCTCTCTTTAGGCTCAAAGTGCTGACAAATAAAGCTTCTGTGATGCTCTTTATGAAAGGAAACAAACAGGTAAAGAACTCAAAAATGGTTTTATTTGTAATTTCTTTTGATGTTAACATCTGCAACAAGGGGACAGTTAAATCTTTTTTTCTTAGCTTTAGCTAATGAAGCTGTAGTGGTATCAGGAAGTTATCCAGGCCTTAATTGGTGCTTATGGAGATCAAACAAAGTAATCTACATTTTGCTTGACTTTATCATCAACATCTCAGTGGGGTGCATTTCTTACTGCTGCCAAACTTTGTCAGCTAACATGGTCAATATAGTTAACACTTTACTGGTTCTCTTACTTCACTGTTAGCACTTTACTGGTGCTGTTCTGCTATTCTTTGTTTGAGTTTGTGGACTTCCTTAATGTGTAGCTGGGTCACTGTACTTCTTGAATGAGGGGAACCTTGTAATACTTGGGTTTGTACCCTTTGATCATCCTTTAGAAGTATATATGATGGAGAGAGAAACTCTGGCTACATTGTGTGTGCCTTGTATGTGTTTGATGAATGAGTAAAACAGTCATAACTCTTGTTTGTGATAGACAGGTTCTTGCAGCTTTTTTGATGAAAGTACATGCTGGTTTTGCATCATTTTAAATATCAAACGTGATAGATCATTTCTACTGGTTGTTTCAATAAAACAGATTGGGATTAGAGTAGTGATTTCTAAATATGACCGATATACATTTATATAATATGTTGCAATTTACCTAGGAATGGAACCTCTCTTAATTTACTTAATTCTCACTAATTGTTGAGGTAGGCAAAACTGTACAGAATTTGGCCTGCTTGGAAATAAGAAAACTGAAAATCTAAAAAAGGTGAGGTTGGTGGAATAAAGAAACTGCCCCATTTATTAGCCAATATGCATTGGGCAAGTTACTTAAGTACATAGAGCTTCAGTTTTCCCCTTTTGTAAATGGACATAATAGAGTTGTTTTGAGAATCAGGTTGTCATAACTCGTGGTTGTTAATATAACTAATATAATGAAACTAGCTACTATAATGAAAGTAATAACAAAAAAATGTTAACATAAATTTTAGCATGTTGGGATCACGAGGTTAGGACCCAGACTCCTTAATGAATTCACTGTATTTATTAAAACAAAATAGAGGAAGTTAGTAACTCCCAGTAATGATGGGGTAACTTTTTTTTTCTTCGTGGTGATTTAGAGTAGATTTTTTTCTCCCTAATTTTGGGGTTGGGGTGGCTCATAAAGTATTCTGTGGAATAAAAAATAGGAAGATTTCTATAACCTCAAAAAAGTTTAGTACTCTGTAATGTAAAGATCAATTTTAAAAATGAGAGAGTCCAGTTGGGAATAGAAAAGTGATTATTAATCACTAGAAAAAGGTTAAATGAGTTAAGATCATTTTGTTTGAATGAAGAATAAAGATTTTCTTTGTAGAAAAATCTAGGTTTGACTTAAATGTTTGACCACAAAGATTGTAACCTACTAGAACACATATCATATCAAGTGGTTACAAAGCAAAGTAAGTCTGGATTAAGTGTCTGGGATGATGTTTAGATGGGTTGGTACTTGAAGGAGAGGGGCTGTGAAGCAGCACTAGGAGCTTAGTAAACGTAGTGACAGCTACATTGGACAAGAGCTGTACTGGGTGACAAAGCATTAGCTGCAGGCTGCACTGGGTGAGTGCAGTACTAGTTGACAAAGCATTAGGTAGAAGCTAATACTGTGTATTGATTGTATTAGGTGACAAAGCCTGGGCTACAGGCTACATTGGACAAGTGCTGTGCTGGGTGACAAAGCATTAGATGTAACCATCTCGGTTGGGTCGTATAAAAAACATAATCTTTGTAATTTTTAAAAAAATTTTCTAATTTAGGAAGCAAAATGTGGATTCAGCAAACAAATTCTGGAAATACTGAATAGTACTGGGTATGTAAATCTTGTTTTCAAAGGATGTATGTAAAAAAATACCAACTTTTCAGTTCTGCCACTGATGCCTTTTAGTTGTAAAGTCTTTATCTATATATTTTTATCTATTTGTCTTTGCTATAATGTTTTATGAATGCTTTAACTTAGACCAAAATTTTCTGGCCAGCATCAACCTATTAAAACAGAAAGAAGGTTCTTGGTAACCTTTGAAATAATGATTTGTCTCTTTTCCCAAAGGAAAGTTAGTTACAGAGTTCTCACTCTGAGTAAAGATTTTTACAGAAAGAATGTATTTAGGCTATTTAAAATATTTCTTTAAAAAAAGATTGTAGTTTCTGAATAATATGAGAAATGATAAGGCCCATGTTAAGTCCATTTTCTGGATCTGAGAGGCAGAGCTTCTGTTCTTCATCTGCTTGGGGATGGAGCTGTCAAGTCAGCACTGCGATTGATTTTTGTGGTTAAAAACAAAACCATTTATTTGGAGATATTACTACTTATTCTGTTGGGTTTGTCAAATGTCATTACTTATTTCTCATCCTTATTTCATGATTGCTTCTTTTACAGACTTAATATGTATTCTAGCTATAAATAGTTTGGCCAGCCCTATGAAGTTACAGGAAAAATAATCTAAATATTTTGACATTCTTGGGTAGCACTGAAGGTAGTTGAACAACACAGGTTGAATACATCTTTAGGGACATACCAAGACAAATGGTTGATTTATTCAAATTATTGTGAGGTTTTATAAAGGAGAATACAGTCCATTTATTATAATTATGGCTTCAAACTTGCTCCCTTCACTCTTCTGTAGGCCCTAGAGTGGAGGCTGGTTTGTTTTCGGTCATTCTTTACGTCATCTTGCTGTAGCTTCACAGTGAGACATCCTCACTTCATTTCTCTATAGCAGGAATAGTCCCCTCAGGGCTTAGATGCCTTCTGAACCAGATAGCACTGGGCCTGACACAGCTCATGTCTTCACTGGCACATCTCTGTAACTTGGCTTTCTGTCCCGTATCTGTCTAATCCCAGTTGGATTGGAAGCATCAGTTATCCCAGAGCAGATAATGAGCCAGGCTTGATCAGCTCTGTGATGAACGAGGCCATCAGGGACCTCTGAACAACTTATAATCTGAGGAGACCATGATCTTGCTGGGAGTCATACATATGTGGAGAAAGCTGCTTTTTATTATTTCTCCTCCATTCTTTTAATAACCAGAATACATGCACATGTATTGAGAAGGCTGAGAACCAAGTATGTGGTGAGGTACAAGAGATACCCTTTGCAAATAACTTTTAAGAGATGTGTAGACTGTTACGCACTCTACATACCTGTGTGTGTGCTTGGATCCAGTACTTCCTAGATCCTTTGTAGATAGCCTGTAAGTCATTATTTTTATCACAGGGTTTGGAGATAGCACCTCTTTTAGTTCAGCTTGAATGAAGACTTTACATTGTGTGAGTCTTTTTCTCTTTTTAATCTTTTTCAAACTTTTCTTTTTTTGGTACTTGCTCCTGATTTATCCTATCATCTCATTTTTTTGACTGGTCCCTATACTGTGGGGAATCTGTTTACTTAGTAAACAGGGTTTCTGTGTGAAGTTGGGTTTAGTTTTGTGGAAAGTCTAGTTTTTGAGATGTGACATTTTCTTTGGCCAGGTTGAGAATTGCACATATATCCATAGTCACCTTGCAAGGATTTAATCAAACATGCATGTTAATTTCCCGACCACCTTACAGTGAAGTCCTTCTGAGTAGATATAGTTGGATTTCCACGCAGTATTTTTTTGATTTATTTTACATGTAGTGTTCGGTGCTTGTTATACAGCATACAGCCTCAAAACGTTCACTGGTCTTGTGTATATTAAAAGCAGCATGTATTCTGAAGTAAGCTTGAGTGTGGAAAGCATATGTCCCTAAGGTTAGCAGTGTGGTTGTCAGCTTGGCTGCTGAGCCCCTCCAGCATTCATCCGTGAGCACTGCTGCTTTACCTGGCTCTGTAAGTGACTTCCAGTTGGTTAAGGAGCAGTAGCTGAGATGTGGTAGGGACTAGACCTGGGTGAGAGTGCTCAGTTATTGATAGGCTGGTGTGAATGGTTGAATGTGGGATTAACTGGCTGCCAATTTTGGTAAATATAGTTGTATTGGACTCAGCTATGCCCCTTCTTTATGCTTTGTGGCTGCTTCTGGGCTATGCTTCAGAGCTGAGGAGTTTCCTCAGGACTGCCTGGCCTGCAAAACTTAAAATATTTACTGTCTCACTCTTTAATAAAAAGTTTACCTACTGCTTATCTAAACCCATAATGTCCAGAGAGAAAGCTAGATAAATTTGTATGTTGGTGTGACTTATTCTGTGTAGTACCAGACAGATTTAAGAAACAAAACCATTTCTGTTGGTTTATAGTAAGTTTTGTTATCAGTGAAATCGTTTTTACTTTTCTCTTTTAAAAACACCAATTTTTGCTTGAAACTATTTTCTGTTAAATTTTTTTTTCCTTTTGTAGTGTTGAATATGAAACATTTGATATATTGGAGGATGAAGAAGTAAGTTCTTTAGGTTATGTTTTGTCCTTTTTCTTAGCTTTAATCATAAGAGTCTGATAGTAAAGTTTCAGAGTTTTTGTTGTGTCTTTAGGTTCGACAAGGATTGAAAGCTTACTCAAATTGGCCAACATACCCTCAGCTCTATGTGAAAGGGGAGCTTGTTGGAGGATTGGACATTGTTAAGGTAAGATGAGTTCATTTGCTTTCCTAATGAACTAGAAATTTTGGCATGTTTAAAGTGATAATTTCATATCAAATGGAATCTTAGGGGTTGTCCTTAACTCCTCTCTTTTCCAGCCTCATAGTAACTCACTTGTAAACCAGTACTACCTTTTCAGTGTGCATAATATCTTGTCATTCTCACTGTCCCTGCTGTGTCAGCCTTCCTGCCTGAGCTAGTCAGGTAAATCGCCTTCCCCTTGGAGTGATCTTTTCTAACATTCCAGGTCCTTTCCAGAACCTCCTGCAGCTTTCAACTAAGATCTAGCCAAATGGCACACTCATAATTTTGGCATTCGGAGAAGCTTAGGCTATGGTCAAACTGTTAAAATTTTATTTTTACTCACACTGTGCTAGATGCCTCAGAAGTTTTCTTCTACATTTTTCTTCCTTTGGCCAGGGCCTTGGGTTTACTGGCCTGTTCTATATTTAAATCTGATTTTAATATCCTTTAAGATCCAGCTCGTTTGTGAGTCATTTACAGATTCTTCTAACCAGAAACATTTGTCCTTCTAAAATTCTTGTGTCCTTTTATTTTTATATTATTTTAAATTTTGTTATTTATTCATGTCATTTTCTTTTGCCTTGTTCACATGTACTCAGGTGTGTGGCAAGAAAACGAAAAGCCCAAGATCATGGAGGAGGAGGCCTGAGGCTTGAGGCCCAGTGCCTACCGGGCCCTACCACACTGACCTCAGTCTCTTAAAAGAATAGTTGCAGGGTTGACCCCATAGTCTAGTGGTTAAGGGAGCCATATCCCATGTGGGTGAAGGTAGTTCTAATCCCAGCCCCAAGCACCTTGAAAAATGTGCCAGGAGTGTGTATGTGCGTGCCCCAAATCTGGCAGGATGGAGAAGGGGTTGTGGTGTGACCCCATTCCACCGAAGTGTGTTTTCTCCCTATTGCTTTCTCTGTCTCTGTCTCTCTTGTCTCTTTCTGGCAAATGCACATGCCTTCTGGCAATTTTTTAAAAATGCAGGTTTTTCTTTGATTTTTTAGATGTTAAAAAAATCTGTTACCTCTTCAATCATAAGCATGTTTAGAAAAAAAACACATTTTTATATGTCTTTGAAGACTTTGGTGCTCTGTGTATTTTAGGAGCTCAGTAAGTGGCTAGTAGATAAAAGTCTTTAATTTACATTTTGTTTTGCTTTAACTAAATTCTTACTGAGTTTTAAATAAATATGACTTTTCTTATATTTAATGTCTACAATTTAAGGCAGCCCCATTTACTAGCCATCTGTGTGCTTTGTAGTTATGTTGGTTAGGCGAAGACAATAAATCCTGTAGCTTTTATACCCCCAAATGTGGGGTGGATATAGTAGATTTTAGGAATGCTGTGTATCACTCTACAAACATGAATTCAGCTGTCATAAAAGGTGGACTGGCAAAGGCTGCTTCAGGACCCAGGGCCATGAGCCTCCCTTCAGGCCTTCCTCTTGCCTAGTTGGTTAGAATTTTTCTCTGAGGTTAGATCTTTTACTTTTTAAAGGGAAAGCAAGTAGTAAATAGTACCACTTCTAGTTACATTGTAAAATGAAAGTGTTTAAAGCATACTTTTGTAAAGTGAAGGAACTCTGGCTTACACTGACGTGAGATCAGTATTTTGGATCAGACTGTTTTATAAAACCAGAGCTTGGGCTCCTTTGGTGGTTTTTATTATGTGGTTGCATCTTTGCAGGTTTTGTTTCCTGCTTAGGTTCAGGTTTAAGACCACACTCTTAAGTAAGCTAGTGAAACACTTGTCCTAGTAAACTGTCTCTCATACCTAGAGGAAAAAAATGTTTAACACTAGATTTTGAATAGCTCTAAAGCAAGGAAAACAGATCTGTATTTGTTATTTTTTGTGTGTATATGTATCTTATTTTTGTAAATACCTAGAGGAAAAAAATGTTTAACACTAGATTTTGAATAGCTCTAAAGCAAGGAAAACAGATCTGTATCTTGTTTTTGTAAGACTGTCTTCCAACCCTAAATACTCTTGAGCCTGTTTTTATCTTAATGTCTTATAGCCTATACCTTAGCCATTGTTAACTCTTGGGAAGATACAGTCAATAAGTCTCATTTAATTCTAAAGCTACGTGAAGTGAGTAACTTCTTTTCAGGTGTATAACTAGGGTGTTATATGGCTTTCTGTGTTCACTTGCGAAGAACACACACATTTGGAAATTTGAAATATTGGTAACATTTTTCTCTGAAAATATATATGGAAATAGCCCTTAAATTAAGCTCTTAAATTGCCCTATTGGTTTTAAATGTACTTCTTAAAGAAGTACAGTTCTTTATTTTTAGTTCAATTAGGACATGTTCCAGATGGGCTAATTCTGGCTGGCCTCTCTTGGTGCATTGAGTACTTTTTTGTTGAATGAGTGACTGAATAAATGAGTGAATTACTCAGTAACTCAATGACTCATTCAATCTAGTGTCCTGGAAAAGTAGCTACTAATATGTACTCAGAGAGCTAATCTCACCTCTAAAGAATGAATAGTTACTATTGCTATTGCAGAATGTTTGGACTTAAAACAGTTTGTTGAGAGAAATTTCGAATATTTAGATCAGGTTGCTGTTCAAATTGTTGGCTTCCTTTAACAGTAGTAATATGAGAATTGCTTATTTGAAGCACTTGGAATGTGGCAGTCAACATTGCTCTGGTGCTTTATGTAAGTTACTTCATGTACTCCTCACCTGCCTCAGAGAGAATTCTTATTCTTGGTCAGTTAGTGGGGAAACACTGATATGGAGAAATTAGGCGAATTGTCTCCCATATCACAGCTGGTAAGCTGTTGAGTACAGATTCTACCTGAGGATGGCCTGGTTCTTTCCACTGAGCTGCTTGGTCTACTGCCTTCTGAAAGTGTGCTCAGAAAACTGCTAGGTCCACTGGTGCAAAAGGATGTCTGCTTGTTAAATGGTTAGAAGATGGCCTCAAGATATGATTAGAGATTGTCTGCATTTTTTTATGACAGAATCATGCCTGTTTATAGATTTAATCCAAGAAAAGAGACTGAGTGGATTATAGTAGTTTTACTGATTGATGTTTACACTGCTTAGTGGTTAGTAACTGGAAATGTTACATCAAATTAAATGTTTGTTTTAAATGAAAAAAGTCTTATTCTTTTTCTTTTCTTTTTTTTTCTAAGAGACTTTTTTCTCTAGGGCGCATAAACTCACTGGAGAGACGGAAAGTAAGGACTGCCCGTCCCCCAACCCGGGAGGATGGCTATGTTGCAGTCCCTTCCCCTCCATTCTCCTCTCAGGATTTTGGGGATGCATGAATATGTTCCCAGCATGAGTTTCAAGTTGCCAGGACTGGGACTTGAACCGTAGTTGACCACATGGGAGTCTAGAACCTTAATCACTACACCACTTGCTGGTCACAGAAAATCTTACTCTTTTTTTTTTTTTTGAGAGGTTTTTGCTATAGGTGTGTGCTCTCACCAGAAAGACAGAGAGAGGCAGAAAGCAAGAAATCACTCACCCCCCCCCCCCGGGGGGGGGGGGGGCGGCCACACCACAGTCCCTTCTCCTCTCAGGGTCTTGGGCATGTACCCACACGTGCCGGCATGAGTTTAAGCCACCAGGTCCGGGACTCGAACCACAGTTGACTACATGGGAGTCCAGCGACATAGCCATTACGTCAACTGCTGATCCCACAAAATATTATTTATTATTAATTCTCACAGTTCAAACTCAATGCCTATACTCCCAAGTTTTAAATCTGAAAAACAGGCACAAAAATTGTAGGAGCCAGCAGGTGGCACAGTGCTGGACTTCCACATGGCCAATTGCAGTTCAAGTCCCGGACCAGGCGTGTGTGTGTCTGCCCAAAATCTTGAGAAGAGAATGGAGGACAAGGGTTTGCAGTGTGGTCATCCCCGTGGTGGATGATTTCTCTCTTTCCTTCTCACTGTCTGTCTGTTTCTCCAGTGAGCACACATACCCTATGACAAAAACCTTAAAAAAGAAAAAAAAGTGTAGAGCCTGTCATACGGTTTGAATAAACCTTATGGTAGGTCTTTCTGTTTCCACATTATGACACTTTTTTTTTTAAATGGGTTATGGCCTTCTAATTTTCTTGGTACTGTAACTTTTTCTGAGATACGGACATATCCCCAGGGAGAGTAAAGTAGTCTACCTCTTTACTGTCTGAGGCATTAAGAGCAGGAGCACAGCGGGTATATATGCATGGGGACTTACAACACCGCGCTGTCTCTGTCTTCAACCTTGCGCATCACTTAATTTTTTTCTCCCTGATACATTGCTGTGCTTTAAATGGGTACTTCATTGCTTCATTCCAGTTGCTTTTGCTAAAGCTGAACAATTTGTTGGTTTTAGAATACCTTTTTAACCTTTGTAATCTGAATGTGTAGTTTTTATGGTATAATACTTAGTTTGAGAGTGTTGGAAAACTGGAATTTAAATCCACAGGTATTTTTGGTTCTTGAATATCAATACAAGTTGTGATTGTTTAGATGCGTTCATTCTTTATATATGTAGATATATATAATAATATATACATTGTTATTTTTTATTTTTAGGAACTGAAAGAAAATGGTGAATTGCTGCC